GAAGTCAAGTTTCTTTTAATAATGTACGTTTGGATTGCTTCGTTAGAATACAAACTTAATACTCCTTTTACCTTATTAATGATCGTACTTATCAGTTCTCATTCGCAATCACGTGACGTTGTAAGGTGTCCATTACCACGTGCCGAAGAAAATTATCCGTGAGAACGACTTGAAACGTGTAATTAATCTTCCTTTCATTTTTACCTAAGAATACGTTCGTATTCAGTGAATACTGCTCACTCGTCCCTAGCGTACAAAGAGTTCAGTTACAATCCTATACGTATTCGATTTATGCAATACTCGGATTGCATGGTTTCAGTTTAATACAGTCGAAGCAACATATAACAGGAAAGATATTATACAGTAGCGAAAGCGACTTTTGCGAGTACTAGAACTGAATAGTTGTCTTACAATAAATAATAAAACTTCAGAAAATTTCCGCATATCTAGTCACTTCATTCTCTAGTGGATAAATTACTTTTACTTTTGAAAATACGCAAGGATTAACGCGAAAGTTTATTGGAAATAAAACTTTTAACGATAATGTGCATCTTAAATGCAATGCTAACGATCCTTGTTGATTACATTAATAATCGATAATCCTGTTAAGCAGTAATGATGTAACTTTCGTTTAAAACACGAATCAATCCTATTTACTTATAATACACTAATTAGTATTGATATTTCAAATCAGGCATTATGTGCGAAACATTCAACAATATATGAAAATCAATGTATTAACATTTCCTATTGCTTCTAACTATTCACGTGAAAGAATTGCACAAATGTTTATAATATTAACTCGTAGGCCTGATATCGTGTAAGACTCGTGAAGAAAATTTTAAACTGAATTTTGTCGAATTTAAATGTTATCTACTTTTTCTGAATATAAACGAAATATTACTTTATTTTATTAATAATTGTCAACCTTTGGAGTAAACGTAAACATAGAATAAGTATCAAATCCTGTTTTTTCTAATCAATTATTAATGACGTAGTTTTATCAAAGCGCAGTTGTGAAAGAAATCAGAGGGCAATGGGTTGTCGCGAAGGACAAAGGTCCTTTGAAACTTTTTCCATTTAGTTGAACGCGTTCCTCTAAATTAAGGAATGCCTAACATAAAAACAATGTTAAGGCGAAACGAAGGCAAATGAAAGTGTAATTAAACCATCGGTTATAAAAAAGGAGAACACTGAAATCGCGCTTCCTATCTTCGCACCGTCGCTGGTTAATACGTTACATGATTTCCTGGAATATTTCGCAAAGAACTTTCTGAGATATCTATATTACTTAATACACTTCCCTACGTGCCTAAAGATAAAAGTCGAATATAAATTAATATTAAAATTTTTTATAACCATAAAAGATAGTTGTGTATCTATTTATGCATGTAAAATCTGTTCAATGTGATTAAGAAGGTGGGAACAGTCACGTACCAATTTTATACGACCATGTAGAATTACATTTGAAGCGATATTAACAGTTTTTGTCAATTACATAAATTATTTTCACACCTTGCACTCGAGAGGCGACTTTCAAACGCCATTTGATTTAACAAAAAATTAAATATTAAATCTTGAATAAATTATCAATATATGAAACATAGAAATAAAATAGTTTCATCCCTTACTCAGTTTACGCAAGATTTGTGTTATTTGCAAACAGTATGATCAATATTTCATCTGGAAATAATGCATACTTATATTGAAAAATATTGTCGAGTGCAAAACGTTAATTTGAATTGGATAACGAAAATAATTTAACAAAAGATTGAAATAACTTGAACAATTTGATCAAAATTTTGTGAAATTAGGGTATGTGAATCTTAATGGCATTTACTGTAATGTATATGTAGAAAGAAATAAGAGAAAACAGTCTATGGGAAAGGTAGAAAAAAAACAGAAATAAGTCGCAGGATGTAAGGAGAAATAAAAATTGAAACAAAAACGGAAAAACAAAAGTAGAAAGGGGAAAAAAATTCAGACGACGCTCGGAAAGAGGTTAGAAAACGACGAGTGCTGGAACTGAACGGAAGCCGGACAACTGTAAAGAGGTTAGAAAGGCAAATTAAAAGGAAAAAACCCATGACAGGAATGCGAAAAAGAAGCGAGACAGTCTTTAACGACGTAAGTCAACACGCTGCCAATGGAAAACGTGAATTGCGTTTTTCAACCGTCGAAATGCTCAAGACGAAAAAAGTGGATTGATGTTTTACAAGTTTCCGACGTCATACTTACATTTAGATCTACCAAACAATACTAACATCATCAATAATTCTATTAAAGGGTTAATAAGAATAGAGTTCCATAATCTTTATACCGTGGAATTATAGTCTAAGGCATCAACGAATTTTTATAATAAAAAGGAGAAAAGTTTTTCATTTAAAATGAAAATGTAATATGGAAAATACTCTAATATACAAACGTTCAACTGTAAGTTGAAATATTTCTAACCAACAAATACTTTAGTTAAATGAATTTCAATGTTAGTTGGAAAATTAGTGAAGAAATATATAATTTAGTGACCAGCAGGGCGAGATTTATAAATATTTTTACAAATTATTTTAAAACAAATTTATCCATTTCAATTGAATCAATTGAATGTAGGATAAGGTCACTGGTTTCAATTTATTTACACTTATTTTAAATTTTAGTAAAGGTTCTTAATGTTCCATATAGTTTATATTATAAATTCAAGGACTACTTACTTAATAAATATTGTTCAAATAGTGAATTTAATGTTTTCGTCTCTATCTACACACAATGGCCCACAAAAGTATTTAAAATCAATATATTTATAATGGAAATGTATTCACCGGATAATAGCTCTCTGGAAATTTCATCGAGTACATTTCATTGAAATCAAATAACACACGTTAGGTATGTCCATTTCTATTCCAAACATATCGATTTTAACGCTTTGATTGCCACTCGAATCCGGGTGACACCATTTTTTATATTACAAACTTAAACATTAATTTCCTTGCTGGCGTATCGAATGAACTGAATTTCGTTGGATGCATGAAGTGTAAGAAAGATAGTACATAAAATAATCGCTACGAAGAATCTTGACCTTTAGTTTCTGTTTACTAAGAAAACTGTTGCGACTGCATAAGAATTTTGATGAGTGTTTACTTTGGCGGTCAAAGTGTTAAATAGTTTTGTAAACCCATGTATACAGGGCCTACAAAACTATTTAACACTAATATATCATCTAAAATGTAGCGTACGGATTTTCCGAAATTTTAATTATTATAGAAACAGCAAGCATTTGAAGTGCAAAACCTGTTTTACCTCAAAAACTTAGCTTTGAATGTTTACAAAAGATTAAATAATTGAGATATCGAAAAAATGGCACGGATACCTGGTATTTTTGAGCGAGTGTACGGTAGATTGTGTTAAGCACGAGCTGGACACTTTGAACATTTCCTTTAATCATTCATAACTTGAAAACTAACAAGAAAACCTTTTTCAACCAGCACACGCCGATTTTGATGAAATATAGTTCTCAAGAAAATATTTGACACGTATTTCTTCCTGTCGACCAACATCCACTTTGAAGGGGTAAAAGCACCCCTTAAAGTTAAGGGTTGAAAGTATATTTTCTATATCTTTAAAACTAGGGGGTACAGAAAAGAAACTTTCTTTTAATTGTTCGGCTCGAAATACGTATTACATTAAATCTCACATTCAATTAGATATTATAAATACAGAAGAAATAGTAGCACTAGTAATCTGTGTAAAAAGTCAGTTATAACAATCAGCTATAACGATCCGAGTAATAAATCACTGCGTCAGTTTAAGAAGACATAAAGAGTTAAAGAAACCGCCATAAGCAGATGAGATTAGAATTTGCAGAGTTATTAAAGCACTGGCATAGATAATGGATATGAATAATTTCCATTATGAAAAGCGTTTCAATTTATGATTATGATGGCCTAAATATATTCATGGCTCGTGGAAACATAAAATCATACCACAAGGCTGTAAATGGAAAGACAAATGTGAATTTTATTCTTGGACTTCAGAAAAAAACGCACGTATCGTTAAGAAAAAGTTCTTCGAACATGCATATAAAATAAGAAAATTCTCTGAAAACTGTTAGTGAAATCTAGACCTACAGTAAAACCTCGATTATTAGATTTAATTAAGCGGTTAACAGTCCAGATAAATGAAGACTCGAGAAAAAATTTGTCGATGTTTTACAAAATTCGTTATTTGAAAATGATTAGAAATTATTCGTTATTTAAAAAATGTCCGGAATGCAATTCTTCTTGTTTTGAGGGGGCAGGCAATTAGTTCGTCTTTAAGTAAACGTGTATAAAAGATATAATTATATCTCTCTTATTCTCTTACTTATTTTTCCATTTAAAGTGGCGAGAAATTATTTTTAATAGTAACCAAGTGTATGATTCAATATTCTTAATTCATTAATCTCATTCGCGATAACAATTATCAGGGAACGAGAAAGAATCAAATATAAGAATATTGAAACAAAGTCAGGGATTTCCATCGTCGATTAAAATGAAATAAAACTGAAACCTTAATCTACCGATAAAAGTAACAAACTAATGAAACATAAAGTCGACAGATTAGAATTCGTCGAATTGAACAGTTTCCGAGATCGTTATTAGTAAAACAGCATAATGAATAGAAAACAATAGAATCTTCTACGCAACTCAGTGCTAAAACTTCACTGTACATAAAATTCTGAACGAAAACGAGGAAACCTTAAAATACCATACTCCACAAACCACACTACAGTTTACCCCGCAGTATAAAACGATTGATCAAAGATTCTATTCTCATTGGGTAACACTCACAAACGAAAGGTTAACAATTAAAGGGGTCAAACGTCGAGCAGCCATTTCTTGCTTCAACCCAATTCCGGCTTCGTCTTGTATTCATCGAGCGAATTTCCCGTCCCAATTATTTTTATCAATCCGACGCGGAGCAGACGTAGAAACAATCGATAATGCACGGTCGTATTAATATCCTACCTCTGTTGAGAAGCATCGTTCTAATGACCCTGATGTAAATCTTGCCGTGCTTCGTCTTGGCGACGTGGAACAAAAAGTCGGAAACGATTCCATCGCCCTCGTGGATGTCCGTTTCCGCCAGGATCTCCTTCAAGGTCTCGACCCGTTCCTCCGGCGTGCTGTCGTCGCTGGAGGCCAACTTATCCAGATAATCGATGACACTGTAGTCCTGCCAGTACTCCGGCGGATCATCTTCCCGGTGTATTCTGCGGGTGGCAGAGTCAAAATGGCCGGAGGAGTCCAAGCCAGCGTACGAAACGTCTAGGGCCAAACTGGTGAACATGGGGGTCCGCGGGGAGCTAGTTCCCAGCTTCCAAGATGGACTCTCGGGGCTCCTTAATCGCCAGGAGTCGCTGGAGTCTTTGCTACCCAGGGAACGTCTTCCATCTTGTCCGGCGCTCATCCTTGAAGTATCACTTGAACCTCCTTCCGTTCTCCAGACGTTCCTCCCGGACTGGTTATCCGGTATTCCTAGCAGATGTTCGAATCCATACGATTTCCCGAATGTTTCGTTCGACGACCAGCCAGTTTCTAACGCGACACCGCGATGGGAAAAATGCAGGTTGCTCCACGAGGAACTTCCTGGTATGGCGACGTTCCCTGAAAGACTTTCGCTCGTTCTTGAAACGGTATTAACCTCGTCTCGTCCGATTGTTTTCCCAGATGAATCTCCCTGGGAACTGTCGAGCGTTCCCTGGGAATGCTTCCCTGATTCGGCCTCACCTTCCGCATGCCGGCTAGGTGATCTAAGTGTATCGCTCGTTCGTGAAAATGTTTGCTCGTCGTTCCGCAGAGCATTTCCAGCTTGGTCAATCGTTCTCGAAGAATGATCTTCGCCAGTTCGTTCTTGCCTGTCTATTCCCGAACATGAACCTCCCGCGGACTTCTCGCTTTGGCTCCGGAAGGATTCTTTTGAACCGCGGTCGTTGCTCATGTCACCATAATCACCTCACGCGGCTCGGTATCGAGATTTTCACCATTCTGTTCGTAGCACCACTCCAGGGATCCTTTTGGAATCCGCTGTTTGTAGTTTTACTTCCTTCTGGACGAGGATTTTTAGTGAATACCTTCTTTGTTCTGTTTTCGGTTTGTCAATACGTTCGTCGCTGTGGATACTTTAGACAAATAGCTCGCGGTATTCGGTAGTACAGGCAATCGCTGTAGAACACGGTTTTGGTTACTCTTGAACTACCATTGGGATACGTTCTAGAGTGTAATTAGGTAGTTTGCAGTATATTTTATGAAATAAATGAATTATTCGACTTGGAGGTGGGGATTATTGTATCATTTCAAGGTTTTGTTACCATCTACGTATGACTATTCATTTTAACTTAACTTTGTCCCAAAGTAGGAAGAAATGAAGTTCGATTGTCCAAGACGTGGTTCGAAAATTAGAAAAAATTGTTAAGAATTAGGGAACAGTATGCGAAGTTCATATAAATTGTGTATTTCATTATTATTAAATCATTAGAAATTGTTTGTGCTAGTTCTTAGTTTCGTATAACACGAATTTGCATAACAGAGCATTTTTTGAAGAACTTAACGACCGTGTTATACGAAGATTACGCCTGCATGTGCATGTTATCGTTAGATTTTTCATTGTGATAACTTGTAAAGTAATGAAGTACTCTGTAGAATAATAGGTCACTTCAGATAAGCGATATGATTAATTTAAATTTTGTACTTTAGACATTCGAAATAAAACATAAGCTAAAACTTGTATCTTATACTTTAATTAGAATATGCGTGTAATATGAAAATACTGTATAAACTGACAATTTATGTTTAGATATGGTATATTAAAAAACGTTGAAGTAGGGTGTATAAATTATATTTTCAACGGTATATTATATAATGTTTTGAATATCGAAAATGAAAAAAGATAGTAACTGCAAGTACGTGTATTTAGGAAAAACATTTAAACATTCGTAAAAATAGAATTCTAATGATACAATTGTATTTAATGATATTACATAATAATTACATTTCTAACAATAATTTATTCAGTATGAATTCTTATTCACTGAATGAGATCGTGGTTTCTTTATTAACATATAAAGTATCAGAATGGTAATTAGACTAACATCAAATGATTTTCTTTTTATAGTAATATTTTTAATGTCGTTATTACCACTATCACACAGAAGTAATACTATATCTATCTATTACTAAACAATTTACTACTATTACATGTAAAAATCGTTGAAAATAACCAATCAGATACAACATTCTTGGAATAAATGAAAGTTTATAGAAAGCATCAGCCTTATAATGAAAGTCATTCGAATTGCCAAATACTAGGTTATTATAAGGATTTTATAATCCCAATGAAATTATATGTGTTTAAGTCCATATGCTTTAGATATTTTATGCGGTTAATTTCGTAAGTCTATCATTAACTAGGTAATGCATGAAATTACTGTTAATTCGATAATTTACTAGAAATATTCTATTATTCCATAGCACGTGTAGTTATTTTACAAGCTCAACGAACTTTAAGCATTAACGGTAACATATAATACACACATCACTTTTTGTTAAATAATAATCCACACACGACGTCGCGTGAATAATAAAACTCGATTTCAGTTACTATCGATTGATCCGGTGGCCAACGTGTTGAATAATAAATAAATACATATGCAAACGAGTTGGTAATTTTTCACAAGCTCATCACAGTGGTATACTTGCGAATTACTTCAAACATTTTCTACGTAAAAATGTGGTTTAAATTTCGAAGATATTTATACAGAAAATATAAATTGTACAAAAACATTTAAGGTATTTATATAAAGGTGTAAAAAGTATCACTTCTATAAATTGTACGAGAACAAACGTTGATTGCTGATATATATAATTTTTCTTTTCTTTCTCGTGTATCAACAATTTACGAGGAAATACACGATGTTAGTCATTATACACCAATTACACAAAGAAAACAAGTTTCAATCTGTTTTCCTGTGACATATTAAGCTAACATAAAAACAGCTTTTTTTATAATGTGATGCAATAACACGTGTCTCCTGGAAGATTACAGATCATGTTCGTGAAAATCGTTTTAAACGGTCGCTAGTTCTAATGTTGATGAACGATAAACCTACGTGAAACTGTAAACCGAGAACTGCAACAGGATGAAGGAACTTCGTTTATTTTGAACATGTTCAAAGCTTCCAAATGGCAGAGTGTAAATAAACGAAATGAAGATTTAGCAAGAGATTACGTTTGGATTAGATAAACGTGACAATGCACTGTATTTGCCATGTGGTTCGCTAATATATTGTTTTTGTGGAGACAGTACCTACAATAAAAGAAATACAATCAATATTTGTGTGTGCACACAGCGTAAAAATAATGAATGCCGTGAAAAGAAGGGAATAAAGAATAGACAACCGATAAAATATACTTGAACTTTGTTTAACGTCTGCGCGGGAGATAATTTTAGTTGGGACTGTGCTCTCTAATCTATTTGTCCAGTATTATTACAAATGTCGAGGAACAATAACGTATCGATAATCAGCTACTCGGATTTCTGCGAAGGAGGAATGCGCAGTAATACCGATAAGGGAACAATCGATCAAAACATCCAGTACGTGCGATCAATGGAACGATAAAGAAGTATGCAAGCAGCGATAAAGTTATTTTTCTTCGTATCTCCTCGGCATTAGTTCACGTATTCCTTTGCGTATAATTGCAAGCCTATTGTTCGTACGTTACAACGAATTTTCAATGATTCCAGCGAAGATTCAAATTTTCAATGTAAAAATGCGTGAACAGAAAGAATCATTTTTTTCTATTACCATGTATGAAGAAATTATATATAAGTAAATACGATTATATACAGTCAATGATTTTCGAGATCACGAAATGTCGTTTATGAACAGAAAATAATTGCGCTTGAAGGAACTAAACACAATTATAAGTATGCAGTGCTTAATTGTTTGAGATCACGAAAGGGCATTTATGAAAGGAAAATAATTGCCTTTAAAGAAACTGGAAGTAACCGAACAGTTATGTTCAGTTGAAGGTTCTCTGAGGTTAATCAACAGCACTTATAAAGACGAAAGAGTTACATTTAAAGGAATTGTAGAGCATTAAATATAATTATATATAATTATTATTATTTACAACAGATGGTAACGTAAGATCGCTAAAGGGCAGTTATGAAAATAAAATTTTAAACGTTTTTAAAGGTAAACTATAACCAGCGAGCTTGCATCTCTGCGTTGTAAATACTAATTTGAATGAAATGGATATCCTTGTCAGAAATTTACAATCTACTTCCATTTAATCTTACAATTAGATGTGTTGTAATCCTGATCTTCCAACGATTATGGATGACTTTGAAATATGACTCACAGCATTCATTTTATAACCTTCTGCTGGAAGGTAAATAATAAAATATATCCTTCCACTAAAAGAAAAAAAGGAAAACAAGAAGAACTGACGACTTTGAAATGTTATTGATGCCTCCACTTGAAATTAAAAATATCATAGCATGATGTCCCGCACGAAATCAAGCATCTTCCGTATCAAACATTCTTCTCCTATCGTTATCATTAAATGAGACATTCGAGCAATTTGTCTTAGATGCCACACCTTGTTGTATTCTGTGTGTTGATATCGAAGAATATTACCTGAACATTGTTTTTATTTTGAATGATACCTTAATTATGATACGAGATGTTTGAACGATTTCGAAAGTGATGGATTTTAAATGGAAAGACGAATCTTTCCAAGTTCAAAAATAAAATTCTTCAGAGTCGTGAATTTATTTGTACGGAAAAGCATTTTCTGTGGCATCTTTGGCAATTACTTTCACTTTTAATTATACGTATAAACTTCAAATAAAATACCATATTTGGAACAGTACGCCTTTAAGAGGGAATAATAACAAATTATTTTATTCGAAGCAAACTGAAAATAGTCTAGTCTCAACTACGTTAGAAATGTATTTAAAATACAATATGAAAATAATTCACTTTATGCTTCAAATCGTCAATATAAGAATAGAAGATAATTATTTATTGAAGCTTCATTTTGTATCCAAACTATTATTTTATCCAATTTATCTAAAGTGAAAAAAGAACAAAATATTTCAAACACCATCTAAAGTGTCTGGAATATTTTTTGCTTGAAACTTTATCCAATTCGATTGTTGTTCTAGTTTCTAGGTAAAGTCATTGTCACGCGACGATTGATACTGCTATCTAAATATTAATTCGAAATTCGAAGTCATTTCCAAAAATACTGCTGTTTAATAACATTGGTATGAACATACATGCGTTAATCTTAGTATGACTAACGGTAATATAGATTAAAGATAACTCTGCAAGTATGACAGATCAACATTTCGATTCTTGTTTCGCTAAGGACGAGCAATCAATGTTTACTACGAGCAAGAACTTTTGTTTCCTAATAATATTTCGTAAACATTGAATAACGTTATCAATTTTATTGGGAACACACTGTACGTTTGAATGTAAATACTATTATAGAGTCAGTATCCATTTTTTCTCGTTCAAGTTTCACAAGTGATATTTTTTTTATTATGATCAATATAAATAATATAATCGTGAAAAGAGCAACAAAGATTTCGTAACATGAAAGAATAACAAGAAAGTAATACATTTATGATATATCTTCAAAAAAGCAATTCTAACACTCGATGTCGATGAACGATTTGTTTTATCTTAACAAATTGATTGATGGTACATCATTCGAATTATTGGGTTATCTAGACGTTAGAATAAGATAACTGGAGTTTTATAAACAATTTTCTTTTGTTGTCGATAAAAAGCTTTGTTTATTATTTCGTCAATTAATTTTGCACTCTACTCCTCAATTATTTTCATGTGACAGAAATTTTATTTAGAAACTTTTGGTAACCTTTCTCATAGAAGTATCTATATTAACAAATGATTTATAAATATTATTAACACTGCAGGTCACTAAATTCTCTTGAATTAATTTTAATTGCAAACCAGTCTCATTAAGAAATTCAAAATTTCTAGCGTACAAGAAACTATTGTACATATCTTCGGCAATTATCTACAAGAATTAGAAAAATCCATGACAATCCAATGTAATCGAACCGAATGAAGAATTTCTAGTTCGATTGAAAACACGTGCAGCTTCACAGGGAAATGTAAATTTTTCGCGCCATTTCCGTTCCATTGAAAAGTTTCCTTTTGAGGCCGACGGTTAATTTATAACATTAAAATAGACCAAAGTTAACAAGTAAATTATTTATCGAATTGTTTATTAACATTTATCAACAATTATCAACTGAAGTCCGAAAGCTTAACATAACAAAAGAACGCAATATTTTTGCAATATTTTTGAAAACATTGTAATTATTGAAATTTCTGATTAACACCAAAACTACCGAGCATTTAATACGATTAATATGTAATCCCCATAAAAATTGTATAGATTATTTTCAATTTCTTCAAACATAGTATTCAAATGAAACTATTTATTTTCAAGATCACATTTCGAATGTTCAATGTTTTTAAGATATCAGTAATTGCGAAACAAAAAAAAACCGAAACCAGTCATTTTGGCTGTTACGACGGTAGTTGTAATGTTAACCACATAGAAACATGTCTCAAAGTGAACGTGTTCAACACTCCCATACATAACAGCAAGTGAAAATCGAGCGTGGAGCGAATTACTTCCACGGTTATTCCGATTAATTATATGCAGTAATTAGGTTCGGGAAATAAACCGGTGTGAAAGAGTTCTAACGATGGCTAGGGGAACAATAAGCCATTATAATTCGCATTTTCTCCTGGGCACCTTTTAATTCACAGATCGCTTCTATGAGAAAGCGTTGAACCATGCGAGAAGAAATACGTTTAAGGAATTACACGGCTTTTCTTTAACGAGGTCGACTTAATTGATCGTCTGACGATTATTACATAATCCTTTCAAGGGAATGAATAGACGAACCATTGAGGACATGAAAGGTTCCTTCCCATACTTATCCGTAGATCACGTGGCACGCGTTTCAAAACGCATTCCATTAAAATATTACCATGAACCTTAATTGTTACGAGGAAAAAAATTGCAAGTTAACGTCGAATTAATTTACACTCACTTATGCGTTATCGAAACAAAGAATAGCCGTTAGAGAATTATGATTGAAAGATTGATTCTTTGTATTCGGATTTAAACAACTCTTTTTTAACGTAGGAAGTAATTAGTTTCTTCAATTACTAGTTTCTGTGATTATTGATATCTCAAAATTAACACTAGATGTATGGGACGTGCCAATTCGACTCATATTAAATTTTATAAACATTATTCGGTAAATGTGTGGGTCGATTTTGATTGATTCAATTACGTGATTATGGATCCTACTAATACATTTTTAAACATTTGATTTTCTAGATCTAAACGGACGAACATCAATCTTTCTGGGAACAATAGAATAAACTGTACAATAAATGTCTGTAAATCTTGTGTGACATATCCAAAATGATTTTAGAAATAAATAGATTCAATTGAGTAGTATAATGAATGTATGAAGAAATCAAAAAAGATCTATTGTTACAATTTCTATAAGGAATACCATATTAATCGTTTTAAACGCTCGACAGTTCTAGTGTTAAGTAGTACTTCGAATGAAACTTTATTGGTACGTATTTTATAAACCAAGACTAACATTTTATAATTTACGTTTTTCTAAGGTGCAGTAACGTTTAAAATCATATCTACTATTTAGATATTGGAAGTTTATCGGAATCAGTTTCTTAACCTTAATAATTAATTTTTGCTAAGTATACTTAATAAACTAAACTTTTTATCTGCTTTATGTACTTGTTCGCACGCAACAAATTTATTTAAATGTTTAAATTTATTAAAATGTTTGTTAAAATAAAATTTTTCCGTGAACTCAATATTGTCTTTTACTCTTCGGTTTATTTAATTTACTGGTCAAAACAAATCTTCATTTCTGAGAATTACAGCGAGCATGGTCACACCAATAACAAGGGAGGAATTTTTGGAAGTGAAAGTACATTAATATGTATCATGGTCCATGGTCCCATTTAGGGACTACGCATACTTAATGTATACCACACTTGTTTTTTCGTTTTGATTTCCAGTCTTCACATTCGGAAAATCCCTCACAATGTTGAAATATCATGTTGGATATGTGGCACCTGTTTCATGTAATTGTAAAATTAGAAAGTTTGGTTAAAAATTGTTTCACTAAAAACCGAAAACATTCATATAATTTTGTGATTTGTACACGCACAAAGTGTTCTCCGTAAATTCGAAAATAACTATCATTAAAATATCGTGAGAATTAAACAAAACGTTATTAACAAAACTGAAATCGTTATGAGTGTCCAGTAATCCTAAAACGCAAAATCTACTGCTACCACTACTAATTAAAAAAAGAAGCATGTAGAATGTTCTTGTTTTACTTATATAATTTATAAAATATTACCTTTAGAATAAAAAATAAAATAAAAAAAATAAAATTTATGGGAAATTAGTTGAAGTAAATTTTTTAAATGATTCAGCATTGAATACTATTTACAAGTACCACAAACGCGGCTAGCGTTCGTTCATATACAGATGCACTACGGCATTCTTAGGAGTTTCGAAATATCTCGAAACAGGTTTGAAAACATCAGGAATCGATACAACCTTTATACGAACTACTTACTTCGTATGGCGCCGGTTTTTGTACCGGCGAGTTAAAAAAACATTGCCCGTATAAGTGTATAAAATAATCGGAGCGCAGGAATATTCGCCGGTTAATGCGCAACTAGAATGCGCTTTATTTCTACTTATGCCATCGGATCACGAAAACGACCTCCATATTCGCGTACCATTCGAATAAATAGCACAAATTAATTACCACTCCTGTTAATTAAGACATTGCTGTTGTTCAGAAGTTAATCAATTATTTTTCTTTAATTGTGACTAAAAAGTAATGTGAAAAGTTACAACGAACACTGTAAATACTTTATAAAAGTAAAACCAGCATCCGTGATGTGTGTGCGGCCATAAATAATGAATATCCAAATCTACGCATCTCAATCTTTTCACGTTCCACCACTCGAAATCTTGAAAGACTTCAATCACTTGGTATATTCTTAAATATACAATTGGTTTATTTTTCAAAATGTTCGGCTGAAGTGGACACGCAAAATTTACATTTTTTCATTCAACGTTCAGTCTGCGAAGCATTCGTGTTAAAACGAACTATGATCGGTTCTGTCATTTCTTTATCAATCACGGCTGTACAGAGATAAAAAGATATATCTCGAGCTTATGTAACGATGTACGAAATTTATGCGGTGGTTTGAGAGGAGGAATGAGAAAATACACTCGAGAGCCAAATATAACATTTTCCAGATAAGCACGAGAAAAAGTAAAGTGACTTATTTAAAAGTGGAATAAATAAGAAATAATAAATGTTATCTAAACGTTGAAAAAACCGTCGTATATCATTTAAAACGACGAAAATATGTTAGTAGTCTTATGTGCAAGATGCTCCTACAACAGTTTCCTGTAGCTCTAACCTAACATAACCTATGCGACGCATGTGTTTAAAATTCATCGCGCTTCAAAAGTTTTGCTCCACTGTTGCAGAAAATGTGAAGACTGTCATGTTTTAATATAATGATATTTAAACGACGCAGAAAATATAGAAGTTAATTCAATTAAACAGCAAAAAACATTGCTATTAGAAAGTTACCTCGGCCTAACCTAAATGTCAATACTTTAAACGAACCACATTTCCCCACATATAACAGAACATTCTGCATTGCTATTGGTTTTTATCGGAAAAACCATAGTAAACACTATACAAAAATCTCTTATAATTATTATCTTCACGTTCTCATGAAATTTATGAATAGGTCATTTCTAATCCTTGAAGATATTACTAATTTCATCATCAGATTTCATTGAATAAAAACAGTGTAGAATCATGAATACTAAAAATAAAAACATCAGAACAATAAACGACGTTTCAAGATCCCACGGTGATAATTAATTCACAGAAAAACTACGACCATCGTCTGCATATTGATCTTATTGCATTAACCGTTCAACAGAACAAAGAAGATATTACGTACACGTACGATTAACGATACGTGCACAGAACAAAAAAAACATATAAAATAATACTGCACTGAAACATCGATTCACTTCCAACTGTCATTTCACGATATTTTCACGTAGCTCACAGAGGTGTCGTTCCAGTGTAACAAACAAACATTGCGCGAAGAAGCACGTTCGGTTAATTTGTAAAAGCACGGAACAAATTTTTTTTACATGACAAGAAAACAGACGCAGAACACCCTCCCAACGTGGAGAATGAACGGCGACTAAAGTGAACTATGGAAGTTCCAGAGCAGCGCCGGGTCGAGCGCTCCCATTGGTCGACGACTCTTCCGGGCGGCAGCTACGATTGGACAGTCGACGGGAAACCGACTGGTGCGTTGTAACTTGTTATGAATGATACGTAAAACGCTAGTTCAAATACAACGTGAGTAGTATTTACTAAAATGATTCGTAAACACTATCAGTTCAGCAAAATAATATGGTCACTATCAGTGTACATGGTAATTATATTTCATAAAGAAAAGAATAACAATAATCCAATGTTAGTATCTGCTTATTATTTCAGTAAATCCTTGTATATGTTTGTGAAGTTAAATATTTAGATTGCTCCTTGAAAACAAATGAGTGTTTATAAACATATGTTAAAGAATTCATAGAAGTGTTATTTAGTAAGTATATTTTCGAGATAGGAAATATCTTTCACATAAGAATCATTAAATGGATTAATTCTATTATAGTCGTGTAAACAAATCAGAATATTAAACTGGATAAGAGAAATCGGATAATGGTCAGATAATTTTTTTAAAAAACCTGAGTTCAAAAATATGCTCACAGATTGAAGATTTTATGAAAATTATATTAACCCTTTGCATTCTGAGAAATGCTTCTTGATTGAACACAGTAAAATTGTAAAATAAAAAATTTAATACAAAATTTTGAATAAGGCATAAACATATGAAACATAGAAATCAAATAATTCTGTATTATTTCACCAGAAAATAATAAATTTTTATAATGAAAAATATTGTCGAGAGCAAAGGATTAAAATTTCATAACATGATCTAAAAAAAGAAAAACAGAAAAATCAGTTGTAGTTGTATTATGCGCATACATATGCGTAAATGATTCTTACCGTTAATGTTTGGGCAGTTAATGGTCCGAACGGCAAAGAATTATTGGAGCGGTAACGTACAGTGTATTTACATACTGTTTTATAAGTCCTGCAGTTCGGAGTTGGGAAGTGAATAGTACAACCAGTAAAAATCAGTTTTTCGGTGTGTCATAGAAAATTATTTCTTTAATACAAGAACCACGGTACCCATTAAAATTGCGGGTTTTAATTTTTTTTTTGCAATTATTGATAGTTTAAAAGCATTGAATACCCGGAATGAGTTTGAAAATAAACAATTCAATTTAATTGCTATAAAAAATGTTTGAAAAAATTATCAAAAAATGTATTGTTACAATATTTATAAGGATTATATATCAACCGCAACAAATATTCGGTAGTTCCAGTGTTAAAAAATGGAACTCAAAATAACAAAGCGAATATTATGTATAACTGAACATTTTTATATGTTCCAATGCAACATTTCTCCAAGGACAAACACGTCGAAATATATAACTTAAAGAATGCTGAGAATATTCCAAGAAAATTATCACTAATTACCGATAACAACGGTGAACGATAAAACTGGAGTTTTATCGTCGAAAATATTGCCTTGTCGGCTGAAAAGAAAAAAATCGAGAAAGCTGTAAATCCGATTTACGAGACAGATGAATGACGGATATGATTTCCTTAGTCTATCTTCGAGGTGGAACATTTTCCAATAATTGAAGGTTACTATTAATCAGTTACATAAGATGGTTTGCAGTTGCACTTTTCGCCGAAGTTAGAATTTTAGCCAAGCGTTTAAGGGAAATAATATTCCTCAAGATTAGTAAATTATTCGAAACTTTATTGCTTAAAATATTGAAATATTTGAAAGTTACGTTATTCAGGATATTACGTGTTTAAAGGTTTAAATTAGTGACACTGTTCATTCTTATCAGATTTGTTCCTATAATCGTTAACAATTGTTCCTATAATTGTATATAACAGTATGAGTTTGTTAAATTTGTCAGAACGCAAGAGCTTCATTGCATAAATTCGACAGAGCCATGGAATCAACGGTATTAATTGAGACAAGGACACGTGAGCATAAATGATAAAAGATAAAACTGATAAAAGATAATAAAGATAAGAATATTAATATAGAAAGTACTTACTAAAGTAGTTGAGGGTCTCCCGGATTTGGTCCGGTGACAATTTCAAGTCAGTGTCAACTGTTTTTAGTGCCGGTGATGGAATAAACCAATCAGAGTTTTCGTATCCTGAATATAACAAACAAAATAAGGTGTTAAGACATTTGTAACATCTCTTAGAACATAAAATCGAAATTACACATTTCTGAAGTAATATCTGGTTAATCTGAAGTCTTACTTAAGACGTTAATTCGAATTCTTAGCATTCAACGAAAAACGAAAATATATCGTAAATAATTAAATAAAGTTTATTTAAGAAAATATTTCGTTCTATCAATTACAATGGAGAACTTCTACGAACTATCCAATGCATATTTTCTCAAACCACAGCCCGAGGAGGACGTTGCTTCTCTGAAACTAGGTACTCTTATATAACTCGAACCAATTTTACGTTTGTTGACAGACGCTTATATATTTCCGGAATCTTAAAGTGGCTTTTAAATAACGTTTCATACGTGGTTGAATTATATGCACGTCACAGGCATGCAATGCCCATGCACGTTATGTAAGAAAATAGTTTCGTCCACTCTATTTCGAATATTCACAAGATTTCAAGAATCAGGATCAACGAAATTCGTTCGAAAATATTGCAGAAAATACTTTATTAACGCGACCTTGCGAGTACAATGCTTCGATCTCGGAAGGTGAAATCCGGCGAGTGTGAGCATTGACATTGAACTTTAAAACGAGGATACTAATTTTCTGTGCACACGTTTACCTTGAAATTGTGTGAGGGTATCAGCTCGCAGACGGTACCTAGGTATTTGTTCCTCTAACAAACTGATGATTTCAACTTCTGGTAGTTCGCCGCCGCTGCAGACCTCTGTAAAAAAAACAGGACGTTTTCAAACATTTCAATATTATTTTCTCGTGTCAATTCATAATTCACGTATTCTTATTGCAATCTTAAATCTTCGTCTTACTCTGGAAAATTCTTCGCTGTTTATATCTTTAATACTACAATTACCGAGCGTAATATTTGATATGCGATATATTAATTATATATAATTATATATATAGTAATAATAATAATTATTATATATATTAAATAAAATTATACATAATTATATTTATTACTACAAATTTATATTTTGTTTTATTATTACAAAATTACATTCTATATGACATCTTTAATCTCGTATTTATAATATAATCTGGTTCGTATACTTCCTTCATTAATAATGGTAACGAAGCTAGACACCATCTATTTTCTGTACGACCACTCGATTACTCATAATACGGTCGTCGAACCGTGATGTACAAGCTCAACGAGGACAAGATCTATCGCACACTGACGCACAATGTTAAGTACGGAATAAAATCTTTGAAAACTTCCTTGTCATGGATCATTTAGATTAAACGTTCGAGACTATTTACGGATAAAAATGGAACTCGGAGGCAAATGTTGAAAATAAAAGTGTGGAAGTAAAGGTGATCCTCCGGCAGAAACATATTGCGAGGATATTTATTTAAACGAGCAATCTACTAAAGTGGAACTTTCATTGTTCACGAGGGAACTTGCTCTATGAAAAACACTGGTGTAATCGATTCTTGTAGGTGCTGTCGAGCTAAATTAACTGGAAACATATTGCCACTTGCACTGACGCTCAATCTGATCGGCTGCTATGTCAGACAACGATTATGCGCGTTATTAATTTCATATTATTTCCATAAGTAATATTGTAATATTTTATATTACTTCTATACTGTTATAATATTTTATACTGTTTCTATAAATTAATAAATATTAATGCATCGTAATTATTTACTTCGACCAACAATTAAATATAAGTTCGATAGTCAACATTCTCTAATGGAACATAGACGACATTGTTTGAAACGAATTTAATGATAATTCACAGATAAATTAAGCAACAAAGCTATTTTATTTAAATATTTCACATAGCAATGCAAAGTTTAATTTAAAATACTAAATATTCAACTTCATAGTTTTGTTGTATTAAATCAAGTAACTGAGAGTTTACCTCTCAAGTGCAAAAGGTTACTAACAGAAGTTCGTAGCAACCAGTTTTCAAATGTCCTTATTTCACCCAGTTGTCAATTAGAGAAAAGTAAAAATATCGTTGAACGCAAATGTGTTAGTGAACAGTGTCAACATCGTGATAATAAATGTTAATATATTCATGTACAGTTCTACTCTTCGATATGTACGTTTACATTTACCGCTTACAAAACGCACGCTCCGAGTGCATGCGAATTCAACGGATTTTCTTGAAAGCGTGTCTTTAAACGAAAACATTGTATCTTTTCTTTTCGACTTATTTTTACACGTAGAATTGCCCCCTGCACGGTTGTACCGCGCGTTCTGTTAGACACTGTCTACGCCAGTGGTTCTCAATCTTGTCTCGCTAAAGAATTTGGCAATGTTTCTTCGACACATATAACCAGCATTCGTTTCAACTTTTCATAGTTACAATATTCTATTAAATGGGAAACCATTACAAATGTTTTAACGAAGCACAAATGAATTTTAAATAATACATTATTTAAATACTTGGCAAATTTATCGTTTGAAAATAATGTTTTCAACTTAACCATAAAAATGAATTTATTTGATATTTTCGTTGGAATGATTGTTTATCTCCTTTGCTTATTATTTTTCTTCTAAGTAAAATGTATAATAATATTATACAGGTACACTACAGAAAAATGGAATAACTCCAAGTACTTAGAAGAGTAAGCCTGGTACAGTCGTTTGAGAGAAAAGGAGAGAGGACTCTCTTCTACAAATTTTGCATGTATTATTCTGGGAATCCGGGACAATGACTGCCGGGACAATAAACCTGAAATTCGTATGCACGTGATGTGCAGATGTCCAAGGACCTCAGTATCTTATGAATGCCTGGGTCTTTGGCAGCAGACCTGACCTGCCAATGGTCGTTGGGACTCCCGTCTACCTGGCGTTAGGTTGCTGCACCAATGAAATTTATAACACAGG